TGAGCTTTCATGAGTCACTGCTCACTTCCTCAGATGCAGTTAGAATGGGAGTCCATCAGTCCTGTGTATTGGAGAGTGGAATGATTTCAGATGCCGAATGACATTAGCAGGCACATGAAAATCGCAGGTGAATGACAGTAGCAGGCGTGATTTGTAATTCCTTGCAAAGGAATTTCAAAGGGAGATCAGAAAGAGAGACTGCTGAATTGCAATTGATAATGAAGCTCAAGATAATGCATCCACCTGGAGTGAATCGAGACCCTTGGTTTCCTGTCCTATTACCAATGCTGATTCCTCCACACCTGCTACCCTCTCTGCATATCCAATCACACCTGCTATTGTCATTTACCTGCTACTTTTATTTGGCATCTTAAATCACTGCACTTTCCAATAAATAGGACGGATGGACTCTCGTTTTAGCTGTATCTGAAGAAGTGAGCAGTGAGTCATGAAAGCTCCTTCCCTACCACATATTTTGTTAGTCTCTAAGGTGCTCCTGGACTCTTGCTCTTTTCTACAGCTACAGACAGACTAACATGGCGACCCATCTTGATCTATCCCACCTAAACGTTTGAGTTACCAAATAAGAACCTCCGAAGAGCCCTGCTGGATCAGACCAGTGAGGGTCCATCTAGTCCAGCATCCCATCAGTTCCCAAAAAAGAACCTCCGAAGAGCCCTGCTGGATCAGACCAGTGAGGGTCCCTCTAGTCCAGCATCCCGTCTCACACAGGGGCCAACCTGGAGGACCAACAACAGGGCAGAGAGACCGAGATCTTCCTCTGATAAGAACCTCAGAAGAGCCCTGCTGGATCAGACCAGTCATGGTTCATCCAGTCCAGCATCCTGTCTCACATAGTGGCCAGCCAGTTCCTCTGGAGGGCCAACAACAGGGCAGAGAGTCCAAGTCCTTCATAAGAACCTCAGAAGAGTCCTGCTGGAGCAGACCAGTGAGGGTCCCTCTAGTCCAGCATCTCTGTCTCACACAGGGGCCAACCAGTTCCTCTGGAGGGCCAACAACAGGGTAGAGAGAGGCCAAGGCCTTCCCCTTATAAGAACCTCAGAAGAGCCCTGCTGGATCAAACCAGTGAGGGTCCATCTAGTCCAGCATCTTGTCTCACACAGTGGCCAACCAGTTCCTCTGGAGGGCCAACAACAGGGCAGAGAGGCCAAGGCCTTCCCTGAGAAGAACCTCAGAAGAGCCCTGCTGGATCAGACCAGTGAAGGTCCATCCAGTCCAACATCCCGTCTCACACAGTGGCGAACCAGTTCCTCTGGAGGGCCAACAACAGGGCACAGAGGCCAAGGCCTTCCCCTGAGAAGAACCTCAGAAGAGCCCTGCTGGATCAGACCACTGAGGGTCCGTCTCGTCCAGCATCCTGTCTTACACAGTGGGCAGCTGGTTCCTCTGGAGGGCCAACAACCGGGCATGGAGGCCGAGGCCTTCCCCGATGTTGCATCCTGGTACTGGGATTCAGAGGTTTACTGCCTCTGAACTTGGATGTTCCCTTTATTGACCCATTTGCTGGTAGCCACTAATAGACTCCTCCCCCATTAATCTGTCTAATCCCCTTTTAAAGGTGTCAATGCCTCCGTGGCCATAGCTTCCTCCCCTTTGTTTATGCACCAGGTTACTCTACTCTTGCAAAAGGCCGGTATTAAAACTTGGCGAGGAATGTCCTGCCCAAGACAGGTGTGGGAGAAGAAAGAACAGAGGGGACCAAAGAGGCCGACCTTTTCCCCATAGGAGGCCATTTTAAGCGCTGTTATTAAATGCTAACAAAATTTGCGAGCCATTTCCGTTTGGTCCTGTGTAGGAAACCAGGCAGGAGGTCCCGCAAATGAAGCGAGTCTGTAGGGCACGGTCTACCTACAGTTAATCACAAGGGGAGGAAAAACCTTACCTCCGCGGACTTCGTTCAGCCTTTCGCTAACTATGATTTATTTAGCAATAGCGTGGCCGTGGATGCGTGGCCCTGTAACGTACTCCGCTTTGATTTTTACCGGGTCTGTTATCCGTGTGTTTGTTCTGCTATTAAAAAAGAAATCCCCCGAGGCCACACTCCACTGAAAGAAACATAGTTAATTAATTGCGGGGGGGCCTTAGTCAGTCGACGAACTGGTTTCTGGATCGGCATCCGTTTGCCCGTGGCGGGAAAGCGCAAGCTCTGCCGGCAAAGGGGGCGCCTTCTTGACTTTGGGCACCAGCAGCAAGAGACGCGAGACCGAACCTTTAACCGTAACCTGTCAAAGCCGCATAAAGAGGTGGGAATGTAGCAAACAACAGTGTCAATACTTGATTTCAGCAGCGCAGATCCCACCGAGCGATGCGGGAGTTCCTAAACCCTCGCCCGTTGGGTCCCTGCTGCCCCCGTGGCTTCCTTTTCTGTCAGGGGTGGTCTCCGCATGCCTCCTCCGACGAGTGCAGAGAACGGAAGCTCCTCCAGCCCCTTCTTCTCTCCCAAGCACCAGCCTTGTGTCAAAGAGAGAAATGGGGCAGAAAGGCCGTCTGATCAGAGTAAGAGGGGGCAGTGCATCCACAATGGCCAAGGGCACAAAGGGGCCTGAGCCCTGAGGGCCGGTTTTGATCAATCCACGAGGAGAGGAGATTTAATTAGAGCCAGTTTGGTGTCGTGGTTAAGTGCACAGACTCTAACCTGGGAGAACCGGGTTTGATTCCCCACTCCTCCACTCGCAGCTGCTGGATGACCTTGGGCAAGCCATAGTTCTGACAAGAGCTGTCCTTGAAAGAGCAGTTTCTGTCAGAGCTCTCTCAGCCCCACCTGCCTCACAGGGTGTCTGTTGTCGGGAAGGGAAAGGAGTTTGTAAGCCGCTCTGAGACTCCTTTCGGTAGTGAAGTAAAAAGTAAAGGTAAAGGTTCCCTTGCTTGAAAGCCAGTCGAATCCGACTCGGGGGTTGCGGTACTCATCCCCGTTTCAAAGCCGAAGAGCCAGCGCTGTCCGAAGACGTTTCCGTGGTCATGTGGCCGGCATGACTAAACACCAAGGCGCACGGAACGCTGTTACCTTCCCACCGAAGTGGTACCTATTCATCTACTTGCAATTTCTTGCTTTCGAACTGCTAGGTTGGCAGGAGCTGGAACTAGAGACGGGAGCTCACTCCGTCTTGTGGCACCCGGGTCTCGAACTGCTGAACTACTGACCTTCCACAGCCTGCAGTTCAGCGTCTTAACCACTTGAGCCACCGCAGCTCCTTTCGGTAGTAAAGGGCGGGGTATAAATCCAATCTCTTCTCTTCCTCTTCTTCTTCTTAACTGATGGTTCAGCGCTGCCTACCGCCGATGCCTCAGACAGCGAAAAGCCCTCCGAACCCATTTTCTGTGCTCCGGAGGAAAGCTGCCCGGAACAGCGTCTCTCTGCCTGGCCGTCTCTCCGACGAATAACTTCCCCGCTTGTGTGCGTTTTGAGTGATGCCCTGGAATGCTGAGCCATTTCACATGCTCATCCTTCCTGGGGAGACATTTAATTACTTGCCCTAATGTGCATTATTTTCCCCCTCGTTCTGCCAAGATTAATATGGGAGGGCCGCCAGCGCCCGCCTGGGTTGCCTCTGCCTGATTAATGCTCTTTCAAAGCAGAACAAACAACCGTTTTCCCTGGGTAGGCAACTGGACACCACCGCTAACTGCTTATTTTCCCCCACTTTGCTTTTAATTAGTTATTTTTTAAAAAAAATGTTTCAAAGCACTGGGAAGAAGGCTGCCGATGACGAAATTTGCAAAACGGATGCAAAACAAAAAAAAATATCGAGAGTCACCTCAGGCAACGTGGAAAGCTGGGGTAGAAGTGTTTGAGATGAATAGAGGAAGGAAATCCTCGGCCTTTCACGGATAACGGCATGTGAGCACGGAGCCCCACGTGGAGCCCTTGGTGGGCGTGAGCTCTGCTCTTCCATGTCAGTGAGGGAGTATAACACAGAGCCCTAGACTCCATTACTGCACACGCAGAGGTCATTTCTGGGGGGATCGCAGTTCCCCCGGGTGAGGCACGGGGGGGCGGGGCACATGACGAAGCCCCGCCCCCTGCTTCCAGCCGCCCTGCTTCCGGCCCTCATTCAGCCAGGAGGAGGCAGGAGAAGAGAGAGGGTAAGTTGCTTCCCCCCCGCCTCTCCCCACCCCTGCCTGCCTGGGGCCAGGAAGGGCCTTCGCGGGGCTTCCTTGCACTCCCGCTGGCCTTGCAGGTCCACCGCCGGGCCCCTCATGGGGCTTGGCAGTGGAGCTGCAAGGTGTGTGGCCTTATGACACACTTCCGGAGATGTCAGGGGGGGTGGCCTTATGACACACTTCCGGTGATGTCAGGGGGTGTGGCATATGCTAATGAGTTATGCTAATGAGTCCCCCTAGCTCTTTTTCTACGAAACGACCCCTGTGCACACGGCCTTGATACCTGGGGGTTGCCTCGGGAGGCGGTCTGGAAACGTCAGCAAGTGCACAAC